GTAAGATGGTATGTTGTGTTGTCCTGTGTGGTGTCATCTGGTGTGGTGTATTGGTGAGTATGTGGTGGGCATTATTAGGGGGCGCCAGTTTTTCCCGAGTAGATTGGTGTACTTGGAGGAGGAAGTTTAACTCATTTAAACATCCTGGGCCCCCTAGGCGAATATTTAGCCTAGTATTACACATATGTGCTGTTGAATGTATTTCGGCGTACTGTTGATGGAGTAGCCGAGGGTGCGAATATTAGCTGTAAGATTGAGATACGCAACTATATTCTGACAATTTTTTGGTTTTATGGTTGGCAATACAATAAGTAGTGATTGTATTTACGATTTTTTTTCTTTTATCGATTTTTTATGCGGATTGTTTATGATTTGCCTTTTCTGTATTATCAGCAATTATTTGCAATCTCTTTATTATCGGCTTATGAGGATAGCGACTCCACGCCTGGCACAGATATGGCCAGAATGGGTGCTACTTTCAAACCTTTGAAGAGGGATCTTGCGAGAGTGAGGTTTGTGATTTTCGCTCACTTTTTTGAAGTGAGACCTACAACTTTTACAAGTGTTTCCCATAAACTACCCGTATGATGAGCGCTTAGATAGATGCGATAAGTACGACCTTCGCTTTTTGTAAGTCTGGGTGCGTCACTGTATCACATTGCAAGTATGGTGATTCCTTAACTTTAATTTTGAATTGTATTTGATTATGATAATTTAGGCAACTATGAGGCACTATAGTAAGAGAAGTGTCGATTTTTGGACTTTCTATGACAATTACTCGTATGTCGCGGACTATATTATGTATGGAAGTGGGCGATTGTGGCCAAGAATCGGTAGATTCGGATATCGTTAAGATTGTTTGAGGATTGTGACCATTTTTCTAAGTGAAGAAGAATTAGGATTTTCGCTTGTATCATAATTGGCGAAAGCCATCCTGCGGGGTCAAAAATATTATTGTGGATAATGCGGATATTGATTCAGTAGGATATGAAAGCCGAAATTTTTTCAATTGTGAATTGAGGTATTCATTTGAGATTTCCTCAACTTGAGTTGTCATAGTGGTAACTAGTTCCGTAACTAGTCCACTTAGGATCCAACCGAAAATGGTATTTTGGGCTAGAAGAGTCGTTGAAATTTTTTTAACACCTTTAAGCATTATTTGCGGTGTAAGGTTGCTGCCTATTCTTATATCTATTTGAGCGGGGGTAATGCAGTTGGGATCTGCTAGCTTCAGGTGTGAAACCTTTTGCCAATGCTTGCTATAATGTGGCAGATTTTTTTAGAGTTTGGCACTACTCTTCTGCCCATTCCTGTAATTTCAAAGTTGGCTTGTTTTGTTGGCAGTTGTAGCCTATTTTGTGCCTTAGACGCTATGAAAGATCGCTGTGATCCTTGGTCTACTAAGGCCTTAAGCTTAAACAGTTCTCCTCGGTGTTCGATGGAACCGACTGCTGTGGGTAGTAGTACTCTACTTTGTATTTCGCTGTGTAGCATTTGAGTTTTTTGTGCCTTTGAGCAACATGGTGTCTTTTGGCAATTTTCGGGATTTTGGTTTTTAGGAGTTGTTGTTACAACTAAACCTGTGGTTCTTTTTGTATAAGCGCTTGTTTGGGGTGATATGGGAAATTTGCTGTAATGAAGCATTGAGTGGCGTCTTTTGTAACAATATAAGCAATTGAATTTGCTTTTGCAATTTTTATACTTATGCGCATGTGACAAACAATTTGTACATAATTTTTTTGATCTTATAAAATTGTTTCTTTCGTAAATTTTTAATTTTTTAAATATCTCGCAAGATTGTAGTTTATGCCCTCTCGTGCATAGTTCGCATGACGTATGATTGTTCTGTTCGGAAGTGAACGATTGCGTTTTGTACAAGCTTCTGTTTAATTTGTTTATGCTACTAGCTTGGGGTCTATTGAAGCTTCTTTTTAGGTCGTTTTGAACGTTTTGGGTTCTAATAATTTTTGTGTCTACCCTTTCAACGATTTCATACTGGATAGCTACAAAATCTTTCATTTGTTGCCACGTTAGGCATTTCTTTCGTGATGAGAGCGATTGCTCCCACAAAAGTAACGATTTTTCTGGTATGCATATATTTACCAGTATTGTGTCCCAGCTGTCTGTGGGAATATTTTGTGTCGATAGAACCGACAAACAATTTGAAACAGTGGATAGTAGTTTAACAAATTCTTCACTTGTTTCTTTTTTAATTTTAGGCAAGCTTATTAGTGTCGTTACTTGTTTATCGACCAATATTCTTTCATTTTCATATCTAGATGTTAGAGCTTCCCAAGCCAAATTGAAATTGTCGTCATTTAGTGCGAACTGTTTTACTATTGGGCCTGCTTGACCTTTAGTTTTGTATCGGAGGTGACACAATTTTTGCGCTTTTGATAATTTTGGATGGTTGATGTAAACGGCAGTGAGCATGTCCCGGAAGGACGGCCATTCTTCATAACCTCCATAAAATATTTCTGTGTCACATGCGGGCACCTCGAGATGGATGCCTGAACTTGCCTCTTGACTTTGAATTTGTGGCAGCTCTACTCTCGGATGTGGAGTAGGTGCAATCGCTTTTATTAGCTTTAATTGATCAGAAATCATAGCTTTTGGTTCTTCGTACTGGTCTAAGCAGTTTTCGTATAGTGCGTAAGCCGATGATTTAAAGTCGTGTGGTAGATCTGAATTGTCATAATCTACTGTGGCGTCATGAGCCGTTTGGAGACGAGTCCAAAAATTGTCAATATTTTGTTTTTTTATTTCCAATAACGATTTAGAGATGTCTTGAATCGGTGAAGAATAAAATCGAGTGCAGTATCGTGTTAATCTGTCACCTTCGGAAATGAATTTGGCAACACAAATATTTTTGCCTTTTAGTTGCTTTGTGGTAACCTGTATTGCGCGTGTAGCTTCTGCAGGTGTAATTTGATTTTTATCGTCATTAACCATTTTTGTTTTGTTATTTATTACTATATGTGTCAAAGTTAATTAAAATTTTCTCAGTGTAAACTGATTTAAATGCAGCAATAAATGATAATTAATACCGAATACTATTTTACGTATATACGATTTTTTTCGGACTAGATAAATATTTACTTGCGAAATAATTTTTTAATTTGTATTTTATTTTAAATATATATTTGTGAGTGTAATTTAAATTTTCTTAATTTAGTTATTAAGAATGGCACTTTTAATTTAATAATAGTTATTATGTCCTTATGTTGATGTATTTAGGTACACCGTAATACACGGACTTGTTATTATATATATATGGCTCGTGAAATTGAGAGCTCGTTGAAGAGATCAATACACTTTGTACATAAGTATGCACGGATTGTTTGTGCGTATGTATGTTTATTTTCTAATGCAATTGAGAGCTCGTTGAAGAGATCAATGTGCGTTTTTTTTTTTGTATGCAATCCTGCTTGTTTGTAACAAGGGGTATTGCCGGATAATTGCCTATGAGGACTTTAAATATATGTGAAATTGTAAATATATATGTAACATATGAATGTAAGTATGTTGTTGGAAAAAATGTTTTTTTTTTGTATTTTGTTTTTAATAATTTTAATTTTTAATAAATTCGTTTATCATATTTGTTTTATCGCCGTTTGATAACATTCGAAATTTATGATAATTGTGTCTTTTTTGAAATGGATATTAAATAACTTTATTAGGTCCTAAAGTAGGGTATAAAGTTACAGATATATTAATCGCCGTTTGTGTATATAAATGTGTATATATACGTATGTATGTAGGCTAGCACAGCGAAGAGAGCGCGAAAGCAAAGTAAATAATGTGCAGATATTTGACCGTATGCACTTTGTAAATATATTTTTGTATGTATATATGTTTATTAAAAATATATATATATTTAACGATATATTTCGATATGCATATATGTATGCTTGTTTGTTGTGTTTTTATTTGTTTCTCTGTCTTGTTTTAGGTTTGCTATTTTGCCTTTGCTTACTTATTATATGCACTCCTGCTTATTGCTTTATTAAACACAAGGGGTATTGCTGGAGAAATTTGAAAGTATATACTTGAATTCGTTTTTGATTTTTGTTTCTTGATGGTGTATTTGAATACACGAAGCTAAGTATAAATAGGCATTGAATTATTGTTGTTCTTAATAATACATCTCTATGTTGGTATATATATATTACCGAACTGTTGTAGTTTGGTGAACGTATTTGTTATTACAGGTTCTATATATATAAAACTGTAATCTTTACATACATATATGCATGATAAAATAAAAGAATAGGAAACGATACGACTCACTTTGGGGTCCACCAAGGGGTTTTGGGGACAATATTGTATACCATATGTGTGTATGGTATACTTGTGTGTTGCTTTTTCCGCTTGTGGCTCTCTTCCAATTTCTGCTTCGCTGTGTTGATTTAGGCTGGTGTGGTTGTTGTTGTGTCCTTTTGAGGAGATTATGTTTTTTTTTGTTAGTTTTGACTCCGCCCGTTCTTTTTTAATTATATATGTATTTTTGTTGTGGTTTTGTTGCTATTCGTGCCCGTTTGAAATTTTGTGTTATTTCGCCCCCGTTTTTTTGATAATTGTTGGTTTTTAATGTGCGGAACGATGTCGAAGAAGATGGTCGAAATAAATCCGGAGCGATGTCGATTGATGTGGTAAACCAATGGTTTGACGGATTAAGAAATGTTTGTAGCGAGCTGAATTGTACAAGTATATTACGCGGTGTCGAATTGAATTGAGGTGCGCGCAGGATCGCTATTACTTCGAAAGTGTATAAGCGAAAAGTTGATGTGGCGTCATCTGGTGTGGTGTATTGGTGAGTATGTGGTGGGCATTATTGGGGGGCGCCAGTTTTTCCCGAGTAGAGTGGTGTACTTGGAGGAGGGAGTTTAACTCATTTAAACATGGACTTTGAAAAAATGTACAACTACAATTGTATATGTTTTAATATGTATGTACGTATGTTTAACCGCGCGTTTTGTATTTTGTTTTTAATAAATTATTTATTATATTTTAATTTCTAGTAGTGTTAATTTTCCTACAACGTTTATTATTTTATCTTTTTGTAATTTTACAACTTTTTATATAATTTTGTAAATTTTTAAAGTGCAATTGATCCAATGTATGTAGAGTATATAAGCATAGGCATAGTTTCTATGTCGTATGTATAAATATGTATGTTCGCATTACGAAGAGAGCGCGAAAGCGAAGTGAATAATGTGTAGGTATTTTCCCTAATGCACTTTGTACATGTGTTTGTATAAATATAAGTATATATGTTTAGTAAAAATATATATTATATTTAACGATATATATAGATGTTATATGTAAGCGTTACAGGTTTTATAATATATAAAACTGCAATTTTTACATACATATACGCATAAAATACGATTAGTTAAAGAAATAAATACGCTCACTTTGTAGGGTATAAGGTTTATACATATATTATATATGCCTGTGCGTTTTGTGCCAATTCGTGTGCTTCTTCTCCAGCTGCTTACAGGTATGCTGTATTGTTGTTTTGTGTTTAAAAATTCGCGCCCGTTTGTTCTATTTATGTTTCGGGCTTAGGTTTCGCGATCGGTTGTGTGAATTTTTAGTTGTTTAAAATGTTTATATGTTTGTTGTTATATATATATATATATTATATATTAGCACTATACCTTTGGTGAGGTTTTTGTGTTTTCTACATTTTAACATTTATATGTATGTATATATATATAATATTATATATATATTTTGTTTTTATATCAATGTATTGTATACTTTTATTTCACTGCACTGGGCCCATATGCATTTATTGTATGTTGTTATTTTGTAATTATCTATATACATATTTATATATAAATAGATATATTCACTTTTTTTTCATTTGTTTTTTTGAGTCACTGCACCATTTTTAAAAGTTTTTGTCTTAGTTTGCAAATTTTGTTACTTTTATTGTTGTACCACTGCACTGCACTTTGTTATTATATGCATATTTTTTATTAACTCAATTTTTTTTATTTTTGTTTTTGTGTGTTTCTGTTTCTTTGTCACCACTATAATTAGGTGCCTTTTAGTAAGGCTCGAAGGACCATGAATATTTTAGATACTTGCACAAAACATCGTAAATGAAAATGTCCGAGTAATGTGTATAAATAAATTAATTTAATTTATAATTTTTCGGGAGTTTACAAACTTTAAATTATTTATTAATAGATTAAATTGATGTTTGGAACACGCTACAAATGTTCGGGCCGAAAAGGAGGCGGTGAGAATCCAAAAATTACGTTCGCGAAACAATCGCGTTGCGTTGTTGAATTGCATAAGCATTGATACGGTGACCGCGATGGTTGACGTATAAAGTTGCAGCTTTCCTACCAGCTGTTCAATCGGATACGTTTAAGCGAATGCAGATTTAGCGATGGTCCAGTCCTTTTTGTTAGGTGGCTTCGTGCATGTTGTTCTAAGAGGTTGAGTGTGGTGGTGTCGTCGTGTGGGGGGAAATCCCTTGAGTGTTCACAGGAGTGGTGTGTCAGTTTTTACCGAGTAGAGTGGTGTACTTGGAGGAGGGAGTTTAAACTCATTTAAACAATATCTTAATTTGGAGCTAACTAACAAACAGTCAGCCGGATTCCAACTCGCCTTGTCATCTTCATAATTTATATATATCTAACTCTATATCTATCTCGATTACTTTTTGGTGATACAAACAACCATTTTATGAACAAAAGTATTATGTACCAACTTGTTGCAAGAGTATAATAATAGAAACAATCACGAGTTCGACCCTACAGCTTTCCAAGGGAGCGGCCAAAAATGTATAAATTCATCAATTTTTTTGAAATATAAACATTTCAACGTGAGGAATATGATCCGATTTCTAAATAGTTCTTAAAGCCTACAATTGTAGATATTTTTGTAAATTATTCATAAACAGATATCAAATTACATATATTTTTGTGTCTTATCGCCAGCAAATATAGATGTGTTCTAAAGTATAGATATGTATTTATCAATTACGCATTTCTACCAACACTTGAAACTAATGTCTATTTTGGGTATATTGAATAGAGATTATGCAATATAAATACTGATCTGCCTATTGTAAACGATCACACATGATCCTAAACTAACAAAATGATAACAAGTCATTGAGAACATTTTTGATTAAGGTATGTGTACACTTATTGCCGTTATGTACAATAGTTTAGGATAAAGCTTTTATATTTATAAGACAACTATGTTTGTTACATAATTAAAGATAATGAATTTGTACAAATAAAGGGAGCTCTGGACAACCAAAGCTGAGCACGATTTCATCCTTCAACATCCATGGTTTAATTGAACAATGCATTCTGGGTAACATGAACGTAATTTTTTCTTAAACTGCTCTAAATTTTTCATATTATCAATATCATATTATTCTATATAGGTAAATGAATTTTTTTTTTTAATTTTTTATACATTTTATTTATTGCAATCTTCCAAACTAAAAGTTCTTGAGTATACATTTTTTTAATTTTTGCTGAAACTGACTGAAAACAATAATCAAAGACGATGTTCACGCTATTCAGATTTTAATAGTTTATACTAAAGAACATTTAATATAAAAAATACTTTTTACCCGACTAATTGCTTATGTTACTCAGCCCACCTCGAGTACAGTTATATGATATTCTCATAATTGTATTAAATTTACCTGTTCAGTTTCGTTTTTCATTTTTGCCAATAACGAAGAGGATGAAATTGTGGTTGATGTAGGTAAGGTTAAGCTTTCATTTGTGTTACTGATCGTAGTCATTTCTATAGTTTCTATGCGTTTCCTGTGAGATGGTATGTGTACTGTTTCCGAACCATCATGTCCTATTCCCGAGCGATTATAAACACCATCGTCTTTAACATCTAAATCAGTATTGTTCGCCATAAGCATGAAGCTTTCAACAATTTTCTCCTTACAGCCAGAAATTCTATGTACTTCTTTAAATTGTTTTAAAAACAATTTGTTAAAATCATAGTATACGATAAAACCAACTTATATTGTTTACGATATGTCGCACGTTTCAATAAGTAGTACCTGTAATATTAAATTTTTTACAATATATTAATCTTATTATTGTACAATTAATTTTTCACCGAGTTTACTACACACTGATAGCGAATTAAAAGTGTTCAGTAACTATACATTTTCATTACAAACGCAGCTCAATACTTTTTACAATAAAGGTATAACCAGGGCCAGCCCGAGACCCTATTTTGCCTTAACAACAAAATTTATAACTTTTGAAAATTATTTAGATTATTCTATTAAATAAAACGCATATAATGGAGAGTGAAGTGGGCTCAGAGTCCCCTCCGCTAGACATAGTGTCAGATAGCAATGTTTATTGGGCAATAGGCAGCTTCAAGCCTTATAAAACGCCGGGACCAGACGGACTATTCCCGGCTCAGTTACAGCAGTCCCTGAGCTACACAATAAACTGGTTAACAAACTGAAATTAAACTATATTCCCTCGATATGGAGAAAAGTCAAGGTGATATATATACCAAAGGCTGGCAAAAGCTCACACATTAATCCAAAGGATTTTAGACCAATTAGTCTGTCATCATTTCTTTTAAAAACGCTGGAGAGACTAATAGAAATACATATAAGGGACACACTAAAAACAGGAAAAATGGCAGTTTCGCAGCATGCGTACTCGAAGGGTAGATCCACAGAAACGGCATTAAGCTCAGTGGTAACAGAGATTGAAAAGTCTCTGGAAATAAAAGAATACACCCTCGTAGACTTCCTATACATAGAAGGTGCCTTCAACAACCATATTGAGCGCGCTTAAAGATCTGGGCATCTATGAGCCTTTTCGGAAATTAATTGAACAGATGCTCTTGGGCAGGTCAATTATTTCAGTGCTGGGAGCTTCAACGAAGCACAGATCTGTCCGAAGGGGTACACCCCAAGGAGGCGTGTTATCGCCACTTCTCTGGATCCTGACAATGAATAAAATGCTGGTAGGTCTAGAAAAGAAGGGGGCTGTTGTGGCCAACGCTGATGATGTGGCAGTCTCGGTTAGGGGTAAGTTCCCGAACACCCTCGCTAGCCTTATGCAGACAATATTAAACGATATTAATCGATGGGCCGTATCATGCGGACTGAATTTAAATGCTAGCAAGACAGAACTAATATTGTTCACTAAGAAACACAGTACTCCAGAAATCACGCCGCCATTCTTAAATGGCACCCGGCTAACGGTAGGAGATAAAGCAAGCTACTTGGGACTAATTTTGGACAGGAAGCTTTCTTGGAAACAAAACTTGGAAGCGAGGGTAAAGAAAGCAGCTACAGCGCTTTACACATGTAAAAGAATGGTGGGGTCCAGGTGGGGACTGACACCTCGGGTGTCTCACTGGCTGTACACAGCAATTGTAAGGCCGATCATGACCTACGGTATAGTAGTATAATGCCAATTACAGAAAAGAAATATGCGATTAGAAGCATGGAAAGTATACAAAGAGCAGCTAGTATTTGCATCAGCGGAGCTCTCAGAACTACGCCAAGCCAGGCACTTAACATAATTTTACACTTGCTGCCAACAGATCTGTATTGCAAGCAAATGGCAGCGAAGTCAGCTCTGAGACTGAGGGAATCCTCTCTACTAGTCACCAGCAACAAGAGGCATTCTATGATACTTAGAAAGTTCCCGTTTTTCCCATAACTACGGATTTTCGCAATCCTATGGAGCTGAACCTAAATCCGGTCCTCAATATTGCCTTCCCCTCCAGAGAGGAGTGGGAAAGGGACGTAGTGGACAAAGAAGCAGGGATAAGCTTCTATACGGATGGTTCCAAACTGGATAACCGAGTAGGCGGCGGTGTCTTCGCGGCTAAACTAGATACCAAAATCGCCTTCCGGTTACCAGAACGCTGCAGTGTCTTCCAAGCAGAGGTCACTGCAATTAAAGAAAGCTTTCTTGTACTAACAAAAAGTGTAATCACAACAAGAAGTGTATTTATATATACAGACAGCCAGGCGGCTTTGAAATCTCTGATGTCTCATAGGATTTCGTCGAAGACAGTGAAAGATTGTCATGATCTTCTAGCGGATCTGTCATCCTGTTTCACGGTAAATCTGCAACGGGTCCCAGGACACAGTGACATCCCTTGGAACTGCGTAGCAGATGAACTAGCCAGAACAGGCACCACCCTACAACTAGATCCTGGTAAGGAGGACATAAATATGCCTCTGGCTACTTGTAGATACCTAATCGACAAACATGTCATTAATATAGCCGAGTGTCAGTGGAATCAATCCCTGACCTGCTCAACTAGCACGCAAACGTGGCAAAAATGGAATATGAGCCGCACATGCTGACTGTTAAAATTCAAGAGGAATGATATAAGAACTCTCGTAGGAGTACTAACAGGCCACTGTCTAATAGGCAGACATGCAAGTAGACTTGGCACGCCATATAACGACTATTGCAGAAGCTGTCAGGAAGTAGAAGAGGAGGAGACCATTAAACATCTTCCATGCGATTGCGCAGCACTATATAGGAAAAGAATCGCAACCATCGGTCGTGGGTTTCTTGACGACGTCTCGGAGGTTGCACAGATAAAACTTGTCTCACTGATGAAGTTCATCAGAAGTGCGGGGTGGTTCAGAGAGGAGCCAATAGAGTGAGGGGATCACAGTCCCAGTGGTATCACAATGGGCCTCCTAAAGGCCTAAGTGTGTCGAGTGACAGCCACTTTACCTACCTACCTATTAAATAAAACACTCATATTCCAAAGATTTAACATAATTATTTAAACAGATTATAATTAGTAGTACAATAAAAATAGTTAATTATATTAAAATCTTTGTGCCTTTAAGTTGAAAAATCAGACACAACTGTTTTATTGTTAAAAGTTTGTGCCACTTTATTTTCAATTGATATCGTTGCCTGTCAGTCGTTTTAAACACATTGTAGAGTGCAGGTAGGTTTTGATAAGTTTCTATTTAGAAAAACCGCGCCCTTCAGTAGTTACGTAGATAGGAAGTGTTAGCAACACCCATATTTCCGTAAATAAATTTAGAACGATATCTAATAATTCGTTTGACCAAATATAATTTAAAACGTCCAGTATACTAGTTATAGGACACCACTGTACTTTTTTTGTTTAAAATATTTATTTTTTCTCTCATACTGACCTTATATCGAAAAAAGTTCAATTGTTTTTTGAGAAAAGTTTCTATGTTATTGTATATATTATATATTGAAAATTAAACTATATTATATAAAATAACATAGAAATTTTTCTCAAAAAACGCAAAAAACAACCACAAAACAGGTGAAAACGATTCAAAGCTGCTTATTTCATCTACGTATTATTTCGCAACAGTAGCTATTTTATGGGGTAATTTTGAGCATTTTCTTAGAAAATTTTTTAAATAGTAATGTCTATAATTTTTATACCATTAGAAAGTAGAGAATTCAAAAAAAAAACAAGCCTACCAAATAACAGTACAGTGGGTTTAAGACATAAGAAGGTAAGTTGACACCAAGTTTCGTGAATGAAAAAAATGTTTGTACAAGATAAAAATAAACAAGAAAAAACGTTAACTTCGGTTGCACCGAAGTTATAATACCCTTCACAGATACAAATGTTGCTTACAATAATTTGATTCTAATCTAATTTCGTGAAGATGCCTCGTCAAATAAAAAAGTTTTCCATGCAGGCACTTTACTCCGATCGTTCAGTTAATATGACAGCTATATGTTATAGACATCCGATCTGTACAATTTCTTCGGAGATTGCACTATTGCCTTAAATAAGAATCGATGCAAAATTTCGCGAAGACACCTCGTCAAATGAAAGAGTTTTCCATACAAGCACTTGATTCCGATCGTTCAGTTTGTATGGCAGCTATATGCTATAATGATCTGATCGAAACAACTTTTTCGGAGATTACGTTGTTGCTTTAGAAAATAATTCATGTCAAATTTCGTAAAGATATTACGTCAAATAAAAAAGTTTTCCATACAAGTACTTGCTTCCAATTGTTCAGTTTGTATGGCAGCTACATGTTCCGTTCCGACAAAAGAGCAGCTTCTTAGTGAAAAAAGGACAGGTGTATAATTTCAGATCGATAGCTTAAAAACTGAGGGACTAGTTTGCATACATACAGACGGACGGACGGACGGACGGACATACAGACGGACATGGTTACATCAATATGTTATAGGTTCTCCGACGTTTCCTTCTTGGTGTTACAAACTTCGTGGCAAACTTAATATACCCCGTTTCAGGGTATAAAAACCCTAAAACTTGGTAATTTGAAGTTATTTTGACATAAGTTTTGAAGTTATTTGAAAAAAGTCCATACGCAAGATTTATAGATCTTTTCATCGTGCCGTATAACTTTTTTCTATAGCATACGTAATTTGCCGGAAATCGACCCGTTTTAAACCTTTAAAAAACTCAACCACGCCCCTCCCCTTCCTTTTCCCGACCACAGATCGCCGGTAAATTAATTTTCTCCTAATATCTTGCGCCCTAGGCAATTAACTAACTTGCCTATATGGACGGGTCGGGCCGGCGGCCCTGGTGTGTGAAAAAACCCATGCGTACATATATACAAGTGACATATATACGTATATATGTTGACTACATATAATATGTACGTGTGTAACTCTACTTCTAAACGCCCCTCTCACATTTCGCTTCCTATACTCAGAGATAGGAGCTCGAAGGGTGATGAATAAGTAAGCTTATTATTTACAAATCATTATTGTTTAAGCCCTTGAGCTGAATTAAAGGTCATACAATTGGAGTACACCTAAACCTCGTATATTTATTTTTTCTAGTGGCGCAGGATCTGTGAAACAGATCCTTAAAACGAACCTATGCACAAGTGTTCTAATTACAAAAATTAATTATTAAAACAACTGCATATTAAAACATACAAAAACTTATTTCATACGTGAATTAAAAAAAAAGAAATTATCAGAGATATGAAACAAATATAATAATTAACAGAAGTATTTTCTAACCTAAGCTGTTAAATAAGCTTGAAATAAAATAAGCGACAAGAAAAAT